TTTTATGTTTTCGGAAACAATTTTTTAGAATGACAAAGAGAACGCATTTTCAGAAATTTCAAAACAGACACTCAAAATACAAAACACAAAACAAATTCAAAACTCAAAACACAAAACTGAAACACAAAGAGAATGACACCTTAGGTTTTGTGGGGATGGAAGGATTATGAATAATGAACCTATAAATCCAGTGATCCGGACCAATAACCATGGATTGGGATTTCGGATTTTGGGCCCATTCATTGAAAAGCCCAAATAATAACAAAAGAACAAAAATTCAGGCCCAGGCCATTGGCCACCCATTCTGTGCAGCCGAGTCTTCTTCTCCATTTCTTCCCTGCGGTTGGCAGATGGCGACGACCGATCTGAAGCTCCAGGCAGATCTAGCAATGGCGGCCGCAGGGGCTGGCCAGGTGCTGGATCCACCCCTGGAGATGGCAATCAAAAGTATTTTTCATAAATTTGAGAGATGGCAGACGATAGAGTCGTAAAATTTATAACTAAATCAAAGTTCAACTACACATGTTGAAACTAGTGGTCAATTGAGACAGATGAAAGTTTGGTGTCCAAATTGAGATTTCTTTAAAATTTAGGTGCACACATAACTTTAAACACTACGAAACATTTGGGTTGGGCTTGAGTATTGTTTAGTAAGTTGAACACCACTTCCTTGTGCGATGCGAGAATCTTTTAGATATTGATGAAAGTAATAAATAATATTTATTTATTTATAATAATATATTTTTTTTTTTTTTGCAGTNAATAATATATTTTTTTTTTTTTGGATATTTTTTCATCTTATACCCAATCTCTATTATGTTCACTTAATTTTGTATTTTCATCTTTTTACTTGTATTTAAGATAAAAAATAATAATAATCGAGTAGTAGTTAAATTACTGCATATAGTTGATAATAAGATAAAAGAAGAATTCTGTGAATTGATAAATGGCTTACACAAATTAAGTTTTGTCTGTATTTCTTAAAAAAAAAAACTGTATAACAAGTGAAATGCTAATGTTAAAACTAATTCTGAAGAGAACCACAAAATTCTAATATTAATAAAAAGGTCCAACTCTATCTAATAGAATAAACCCATGTTTTCTTCTTGTTTGTTGAAAGATTGCATCCTTAGTTTCGAGAGTTTCATCATAGTCGAGTTGGCTTCGAAGCTGAGATCTTCGGAATCATAAGTCTTGAAGAAAGGAACATGGAAAATAATAAGTACAGTAATTGCAACAAATGTAATTCAATAACTCTACAACAAGTATAATGAGTCCAGTGGCAAAGCTAGGATTACAGAGTTGTGCGGGCAAATTTCACAAAATTTTAGTTGTGGGGGACAAAATTGAAAACAGTAAGGAATTTTTTTAAAATCTTGTGCAAAATCTCGAAAATTCAATAAAAAAAATCCAATAGTGTGGAATCCACCCATGATATTGACCTTAGTCAATCCCGGATTTCTTCAAGAACACGCTTCAAACCAGCATCAGTTATCTTTATGTACTCCTATCTTTATGTACTCCACAGGGTCAAGCCATGTTAGTTAATTGCTGAATAGCTTGTTATTATCAACCTTCTTCACTAGTCTTTGAACCAAAATTCTCAATTGAAAACCCAATCCAAAACAGATGCAGCGAACTTGCCTTTTCTCCAATCTACACCATAAGAATTTGTGGGATAATCGTCTGGCAAACTAATGCTAACTCCCGTACCGAAGGAATCATTGGGTGGTAAAGCAGCACAATATCTTCACAAGACATCTCAGATTGAGACAGATCATTGGGCAAACTTCCTGAACCAAAGTGATCATCAGTAAAAAAAAAATCTTCATAAACCTAATCAGAGGCATAACCATCAGCAGTATCTTCATTAGAGGTCTCAGATTGAGAATCATCCGCGGGTAAATTTAAGTTGATTCTAATCCTTGGTCGTCTCTCCACGAAATGTCCAATATAGCCTTTTTTATTCACTATCATTGTTTCTCCCTTCAACACGGCAACAACCTATATGTTCACAAGAAGCCACCAATTATTTATCATGAGATTCAATAACAAAACTAAAAAATTCAAAGTATTTCTTCCTTTACTCCCAAAAGAACAGAAAAATTACAAAACTTGCTTTAACCTCAGCATCAACATGTGTATAAATGCCTAGAAAGAAAAGATTAAGCTGCAAATATGGTCGATTGGACACTGACAGTTGCAGAAATATCAAGAAAGAATGCCGTATTGTATAGAAACCCCAGCTCAAAGTTCATGTGTTTCTGATAGCAATATAATGTAAACCAAAGCTCAAACCAGACAAATAGGATTACTATGACTGTTTACAACAGTAATAAAAAATTGATCCATTTTGTTACACTTGAATTACACACAAAAGCGGGGGCGGAGCCAGGAAATCTTGGACTTCAAATTTAATGTAGGGTAGCGGACCCCATTGCCCCCACTGTAGATCTGCCCGTTCACAAAAGATGGTCCACAAACCACAAACAACTATATATTATATGTAGATTAGATAACAAGGAGATCTTTGGAATGATAAACCTTGAAAGAAGATTAGCATTAAAAGACAGAAAATAATCTAATGCAATGGCAGCATAATACATAATTAGATAATTCCATCTAAAGTATACTGACCTCAGACAACCCCGGATTGCTTAAAAAAATGCGCCTTAGACCAGCAGCAGTTATTTTTCTGCACTCCACAAGGCTCAGGCTGTGAAGAGTACCTTGAGCCCGGTTACTTATCCTCAGAAGGTCATCGTCCGTGATCTTATCATTCAATGGATGGTCAATGTGAATATTTCTCCATGGAAGGGGATCGTTTTGGACTGCATCACATGGCAATTTGCAAACTCCTTCAACCGAACCAAGATAACCAAGGTCAAAAAGCAGACCATCTGGCGAGGTAACATCTTTTTCTGTGCGGATGCAATCTTTATCTAGCCATTTCCGCGTAAGGGCCGCATCACACCGAGGGAACCAATATTTATCGAATCTGAATTTTATGTAGTCGTCCATGAATCCACCCAACTCATCCTTAGAACC